GCAATAACCGTCAAATAATAATTCAGACAGGGGAGCTCCGCACCCCCTGCCTGCCGCTAGGGGGTGCTGCAGCGCCCTCAGCACACCCCTTCCCGCGCCCATGTGCAACACCCAAAGCTATGACACTTACAGAGATCAAAGCAGAGACACTTATGGGGAATTTCCAACGCAGGCCTCGCTCGACTTAGTACGGTTTTGTTAGGCCTTGTTAGGCCCAGCTCACTTCCTGCGCTTCCATGACAGTTTAGGAGCTGGGGCAGTAACTATAGTAACGCAGTGTAGGTTGAGCTGTGACGTCATCTTCAATGAGCGCCCCAGAAAAACAACATCAGCCGTTAGCTGTTAGCACTCAAGCTCACAGCTCCTCATATCTGTTCAGAAACTAGACAGAAGTGAAACTGTTACGGTGAGTGAAGTAAGCAGGACCCAAACGCAGATAACGCTGAAAAAAGCCTTTATTTCAAGGATAAAATAAAAATAACTTGGACAAAACCGAACTCTCCCCGGTGAACTCAGTCACAAACAAAAGACGAACCAACACTGAACACAAGAAGAGACGAGACTAAATACAGGGAGGGGTAATCACGAGACGAGGAACAGCCGGGCAGGGGAGGAGAAACACAAGGGCAACAGGTGAACACAATCAGACAATCAGACACACCAGGGAACGACAGGGGGAAAACACAGGAAGAAGGACCAGACAATATACAAGGAAGAAAACACCCAAAACAAGACAAACAAAACGTGACATAACACAATAATCATAACAGAACCCCCCCCCCCCCCCCCCCCCCTCACAAAACAATTAGTACANAGCCGATCTCCATTTAGAAAACACGCATTTTAAAAGGTTTTTCGCCTGCCCCGGTTAGTAAAAAACATGAATTAATGCTTTGACAAGTCTGCAGACAGACGGCAGGCGAAAAACCTTTTAAAATGCGTGTTTTCTAAATGGAGATCGGCTAAGATAACGCAGTATATGCTCCGACCGTCCACACTCACAACAACGGCCTATACAGACATAAATAAACCAGCGACTGTACTCGCCATGACACAGACAGTCTGTGGTTTGTACTTGTTTAACTTTTGTCTAGTTTCTGAACAGATATGAGGAGCTGTGAGCTTCAGGGCTAACAGCTAACGGCTGATGTTGTTTTTCTGTGGCTCGCATTGAAGATGACGTCACGGATCCGCCTACACTGCGTTACTATAGTTACTGCCCCAGCTACTAAACTGTAATGGAAATGCAGCATAAAGTGAGCCAGTCCTAACAAGGCCTAGCCATACCGAGCGAGGCAGAGCGAGGCCCTGTAGTGGAAATGCGCCAATAGAGAGCCGAAGTCCCTCCCTTTCCGGTGGAACTCCATTGGACCTTATTTCGGAAAAATAGCTAACAAGGTACACTCCTGTGTTTTGTTTTAGCAACTAGTTTTCTCGTTAAGAACTGCGTGATCGCTGTGTATGCTGTGGATAACATTAGTGTTGGCAAGGACAAGGTACACAGAAAACTAGTTGCTAAAACAAAACACGGGAGTGTACCTTGTTAGCTAATGTTAGCTAGCTGACATTAACGTTACACATTACACTCGTTTAACAATCACCGAAACATTGTACAGCAGGTCCCGCATGCTGGCTCTTACGGAACCGACTAACTCCCCTTTTGTGTAATAGCAGCTCTCAACATTGCCCAGACGTGTAATGATTTTCACCTCCTTTAATACTTTTCACCTCATTCTGGTGTTGGTGACGTGTATTGTGCGAGACCAGAGATGTAGTTCATTGAGCCGTTTCACACACAAATAAGTGTTACTTCACAGTTTTACGACAAACTGACTTTTTTGACGTGGAAAGAATCTTTTAAGATTGACAAACATGTAATTCATGGCACAATTCAAACGGGATCGAAAGATAACTTTTCACTCGCCATTGACTTCAATACATAATTTTTCCGAAATAAGGTCCCACGGAGTTCCACCGGAAAGGGAGGGACTTCGGCTCTCTATATGCAAACTACAACTTTAAGCCGAGACAAGACCAGACATACTTTCAGCTGATATGTGATCCTGCGCTTCATGCCTGATCTTGCGATAACGAAAGAAAACAGCTGCAAAAAATCTCTCCCTTAGATTAATATATTTTAGATTGAAAGTCCTTTCTTTATTTATCTGATCTTAAAAACCCAAAAAAAAATAATGAAAACCTCCTGTTTTGTACCACATCATTGCATTAAAGTACAGTCATACTATGTCACGCAAATATATATTCTGTCAGACTTCAAGCATGTGTCTCATGTTTGTGTAGCCAGCAAAATATCTGAAGTTTTTTAATCAAGCAGTAGCCTACATCACAGGATCAGACTGCAAAACACCCT